CCCCCCCCCCCCCCCCCCCCCCCCCCCCCCCCCCCCCCCCCCCCCCCCCTCTCTCTTTCTCTCTCTGCCATATAATGACATAGTGAGAAGTTGGCTGTCTGCAAGCCAGGAACACAGCACTCACCAGAACCTAACAATGCTGGGACCCTGATTTCAGACTTCCATCCTCCAGAACTGTGAGAAAATACTTTCTGTTGTTTAAGCCATTCAGTCTATAGTATTTTGTTACGACAGCCTGAGCTGACTAATACGGAGACCTTATTTGGAAGAGAACACACGTAATAGTTATGATAAGTTCATCAGGGTGGACCCTAATCCAATATGACTGATGTCCTCATAAAAAAGGGAAATTTGGACATAGAGACAAACATGCATAGCGGAAAGATGATGTAAAGAGATGCAGGGTGAAGATGGCCATTTACAAGCCAAGGGGAAAGGCCTGGAACAGATCCTTCCCTCACAGCCTCAGAAGGAACCAAACTTGCTCATTCCTTGATCTTGGACTTCTAGTCTCCAGAACTGTGAGACAACACATTTCCATTGTTTAAGCCAACTAGTGTGTGGTACTTTGTTGTGGCAGCCCTAGCAAACTAATATAATGCTCCTGAAAAACTTTGGGTAGCCTGATTTACTAATTGGGAAATATAGAAATTGTGAGTTCCATATATGCCTGGGAAAGGTCAGACATGTTATTTTAATAATAAATAATCCTGTGAGTTTAAGTTTTCCATTTTAATAAATAATCAGGAAGTTTTGGGAATGAAAATTTGCTATGCCTGTAGGATCAAAACTCATGAATTTACTAGTCATTCTTTCTGCTATATATATTTGAAGGTTTGGGTATTTACTGTTTCTGCAAAATACTGTAATTTCTTTTTACTTCATTCTATATTAAATTTAGGTTGAAACTAACACTTCCAGGGAACTTGGTATTTTAGAAGAATATTCAATATGTTCCCTTTTAAAATAATGCCAGATGTCCACATTAATTTAGATATTGGCTGATACAACGTATTATTTTATGAGAAGCAATGCAAACTGAACTGAATATATTCAAAAACTTTAAAATAATATTATCAAGACCTTTTAGAGTATACAATATTAAAAAGTATTGATTTTACTTTCAGCAACAAGCTACTGTAGATTCAAGTATTTGGTTTTCAGTTACGAAAGAAAGTACTTTAAGGACTGTGATAGACACTGAAGTCAATGCTTTTAATACAATCTCCATGGTAACATGGGAAGGAGCACAGTCTGGTGGACCAAATGAAAGCCGCAAACTCAAAATTCAGACCCTCACATTAACCGACCACAGAAAGCCACGTTTCTATCTTGGCGTTTCCTCTCTGCTATAAACACAGGCACTCTGGCTTTGTTCAACAAAAGGGCATTGCCTGAGTCCTATGAACTTGATATACTAAATTAGTTGATTTTACTAAATTAATACTATTATCGTTATGTTCTTAAAGATTATTCACATTAAACTTCTATGTTGTAGCAGGGAAATAAGTAGCAGTAAATTAAAAATGCAAGTACTGAATAAGTTCCCCAAATTTCATATAACAATAACACAAAAATGACCTCATTTGAAGGATCTACCATATTTTCATAAATGAATTACCATGATAAAAAGGTTTATTTTTTAAAAATAGGCATTTAGAATCTGATTGGCTACTAACTGAGCATCCTGACCATATTGTTTTGCTTACAATTTCATATTTTCAATAAGGAAATGTCTTCTATAGGAAACTGTACAATAACAATGCATAGGGATTTTAACTGCTGTTTAATGAATTAGTTAAGATTTTCCTATGATGATATCTTGCTAATCTGTAGACCATTTGCACACAACAATAAGAAATTATGAAGTCTCTGAGCTAGAAAAATAGATAATAGTAGTTAAAATTTACTTAGTATTTATTACATGTCAGGCACCATCCTGGGCTCTTCCACAGATGATCTCATTTAATCCTCTCAATGACCTTATTTAGTAGACGTTATCATTATCCCCATTTTATTGATGAAAAGACTAAGCTCAGAGATGTTCAGTAATTTGCCCTAGGTCTCCCAGCGGAAGAATGAAATTCAAGGCTTTAGTACTTGACCACTATGTGCTACTGCTTCTCAAAGATGTCTGTTTCATTTGTTAATTTTATTCATGTAAATAACACACTGGGAACCTGAGTTCATTTTACTCTAATTTAAATGCAATTCCACCAGATTTGGTTATCTGAGCACCTAAGATTAGAGGTAGCAAATTAGAAAGGTTTGGAGCAGGGCTTCTCTAAGCAGGAAACATTAAAAATAAAGTTGAAACAGGAACAGACAGTACAACAATATGGGATTACTCATAGCAAGAAAAAGACATACACAGTTTTGAGAGGGAGTGGGTGGAGATATGGAAAAGATATCTGCCATTTGTGGAACACCTGTTATGAGCCAGGTGTTTGCCTTTGTCATCTGCTAATCCTCACTATGGTCCTGCCATGTAGGCTGTTCTGTTCCCATCTCAAGGCTCACAGAAGTTCAGCAGCGTACCCAAGCTCTCACAGCACAAGAGCCAGGCTTATTGGGTGCCAGGTCCATGCTCTGAACACTGCACCACACTGCCTATCTTGAATGGATTAAGAAATGAAGGAAGGAAACAAAATCTTGGAAAGGTTTCTATAAAAATGATTATAATAGAAACACTTTGTGGCATTGAAGAGGGGTAACAAGCCTCAGTTATCTGGAAAATTTACTTGTCCCCCCACATTTGATGGAGAAGACATTATAGCACTTTAACTTTAAAAAATTCAAACATAAAAAATCCTAAATTTAGAAAATCCACAAGTTAAGATTGTACAAATGGAGGATTTTTCATTTGATGTCCTGTCTTTAATAGTCTGGTTTTTTTTTTTTTTTTTGAACTACCACTATTGGGGTTTTACTTAGTGAACATTCTTAGCAAATTCAAGGCATTGTGCCAAAAAAAAAATGAAGAGGAGCATGAGAATGCCGTTTGGAAGGGTTAGAAATTCAGAACAGAAACACACACACACACACACACAGAATTCAGTCCACACTTTCAGTCAGCAACACCAGTTAAATAGAAGGGCTGGGCTCGTCCCATTAGCCAGCAATTTTTTTTCTTGCATCCCTTATTGCCTAAAGACTATTGTGAATAGGGGAATAGCAGGAAAACATTCCCACAAAGAATGAGCTACTCTAAATAACACATACAATCAAACTACTCTGTATATGAGTAAAAAATTAACTGGTAAAGGCAAGTCCAGTTTTCTTGTGATGTTGAAAATGTGTATTCATTTCATTTGGCTGTATCTCAGGAAGCATATTATGCCCCTTTAGAGCTGCTGACTTAACAATGCTTTTGTGCATGGCTTCCTCCTCCCCACATCGCACCCCTCCCAGGTTTAAACCCTGGTGCCCACTTAGGCATGATTACCCTTGGTGCAGCCCTGCCATTGGCGTCTCTCTCAAGGGAAAGAGCTTGGGGTAGACAATCGTAAACATGGGCTCACTACATCGGTGGCAGTGCCCCAGGGGGCAGTGCAGCAGCTCCAGGAGACTTCTGGGTAGTGAGATTGGAGACAGAAAGTTCAAATCTGGAACACAAAAGAAAATCATGCACATGAGTAAAAAATCAGATTTCCTTAAACTATTTCTCTTTGTTACCAAGTAAGTTCAGTTAGTTAAAAGTACTTCATGTTGAATATTCTGTTATCTGATAGGCACTGAATAAAAATCTAACATTACCGGGAAATAAAAATGTTTTTTACATTTTTGATACTAAAAGAAAACATAACTCTTTTAAAAGCAACCAGAAGCTGTCCTGAGGTAGAGGCAAGGAAAGAATAGGATCAAATATTCTTTAAGAACAAAGATCAAAAAGGCATCAATTTACCCAGAGAGGGTTGTATAAGCTTTTATGAGTTGGAGAATTTAAAAAGACTGGGACTAAAGACTAACACTGACTTCTATTAAGTTCTCCCTAAATCTGATGGGCATTTAGTATCAATCAAGCATCAATCAAGGCTAAATCATATTTATTGAAGAAAGTAAAAAGCAGGAAATCAAAGAGAATGAAAAAATAATGAAACCAAGATTTTCCCTGCCTGACTCCCATGAGCTGTCATTAATAAAAATACGGAGTTTCATTCCCAGCTTAGTATGAGCTACACAAAAGAGAGGTTTAAAGCAAAACATCCCAGTGGCTGAGGCAATCTTCAGCACATATTCGCCCTGAGTTTCTACTGAGGACAAACATACAGTAGAGAGAGAAATGGTCATAATGAAATGAAATCTAAAAATTATCAACCCATTTTGGGGAATGAAATGCAAATTATCTTCTTACCTTTTATATTTGTCCAGACTCATCAATAACCACTTAGAAAAATGTAATTTAGTCATAGGTAAATAACTACAATTTTCTGTTTAGTTTTAAAAAACAACTTAACTTTATAGTAGATATTCCTGGAAGGTTAATATTAGATGTTTTGTATAAACTTTTTTTTTTTAGCAAAGACAAAACATTTAGCAGCTTTAAAAACACTCAAAATGTGCTTTTCTTATTAATATTGCCTCATGCTTTCTTAAAGCATTTCAGGTGCACATCCCACAATACCTATGAAATCTATGCACTGCCAAATCCTTTCCAAAATCAGTCGGCATGCTGTGATAGTACTGCCAATGTCTCCTGGTATTTCTTCTCCTGTAGGTGTACACATTTCTCAGATGTGAGGAAGCAACGAGGTAAAAACCTGCTGTGTGGAAAGAGGTACCCAACTTTGCTTTCAGGATAAGTTCTTTCTAAATTTTCCCTACTGTCAGCCTTTCAACTTTGACCAGATACACATTCCCAAAACACCAATTTCCTTCATTCAAACCACTTAGTTTCTTTTAACCATATTAATAAATGCTTCTGGGATTGGTGTTGATAAAACATTAGAACTTTTTCTTATAAGAAAAGTCTATTCCACAACAATGTGAATTACTTAATGCCACTGAACTGTACACTTAAAGATTGTTGAAATGGTAAATTTTGTGTTATGTGTGTTTTACCACAATAGAAACTTTTTTTAGAAGATTAAAGCCAAAACCGGCAGCCTAAAACACAGTTTTTATGTTCACCAAGAGATTAAAAAAAAAAAAAGGAAAGGAAAAGAGAAGTCCCAGGTACCTTTCAGAAAACTGTGGTAGGTGTGATACAGACTTCTCATGGCCAGTTCTTGCAGGGGCAAGACGTGATCATTCTCTGTCCCTATGGCCTTCACCTCGGCTGGGAGGAAAACAGTTAGCTGCCCTGATGAAAAGGAAAGCAGCTTTACCTCGGAAACTTGAATAGGAGCACCACAGCTGCAAAAAGACACAGGTTCACAGTGGTATTAACAAAAGGAAAAGAATATGGGTGCCAATAAAGTGTGTTAATCAAAATATACATTTGAAAATTTACAACACTGCTGAATTGCCAGAATTCTTTTCAAAGTGAACAGATGTGATCCTGGGTTCCTTAATAAAACCTGTCTTACACATCTAAACTCATCAGTTGGAACACAGCTAAAGTATTGCTGAGACAATACTCACCTCGAGGAAGGACAAGCTTTAGAGGAACTTTTGAGGATCCACACAATTTGCTGTGTAAGCTCTACTGCTCATTTTATTACCCTCTCCAAGTTTATGTTTATTGAAACTTCCAAAATTTAAAAAAAAAGAGTACTTTGTTGAGTTATAGTATCTTGTTTAACAGAGTTTTTGTGTAGAAAAACTTAAACCCACAAAGCAAACAGATTTTTTTTTTTTTTTTCCGTGACCGGGACCGGCTACGGGATCGCAACCCTCGGTGTTGCTCCCGCACCTCGCTCAGCCAGCGAGCGGCCGGTCTGTATGTGGGATCCGAACCCTCGGTGGGAGCACCGCCGTGCTCCCAAGTGGCGCACTGTAGCAGTGCGCCACCGGGCCGGCCCGCAAACAGATTTTAATGGCAGAAGATAACTTTATTGGATCTTTCCATAAACTTGTGGGAAAAATATTCTTAGCATACTGAATAAGCCAAGTCACGCCACGCAGCCAGAAGGCAGAGATGCCCTTCCTCCTTTAACTGTGGGGTTACCAAAACTCAGGAGTCCGATCTCATTCTACCTGCTGTCTGAGAACTTTTGGTTACTTAAAAGCCTCAATAGTTTTCTCCTCTAAATAGGAAACAGGTGCCAACAAACGTTGGCTCTCCAAACACAACATGAGATGATATTTCTAACCTCAACCAGAAAAAGGCAATGAAGCATATGACCCAGGACTGGAAAGCAGGAGACTTTGCCTCATTTATTCATTAGAAGTTCTTTCATTTGTTCATTCTGTCCCTTCATCAGAAAGCATTTCCAGAGCATCCACTATACACCAATCAATCATGATATTTAGGTTAAAAAAACCAAGATGACCCCTTTCCCTCGGGAGAACAATGTAGAGGCAGAGAAAGAGTGGCTGACACTGTCCAGAAATTAGGAAAGATTTCGCAGAGTAGTCAATATCTCACAGCACTCAACCAATTCACCAGGAATAAATGCAGGGATATACGTACTAGTATTTCAGGCAGAGGGAACATGTGCAGCAGTTGGACAACTGAAGAATATGGGTATGTTTATGGTTTCAGGGGGAATGGAAAAAGGAACACAGGATATGAAAGGGTGGGAGGAGGAAGCCAGGGATATTAGCTGAAGTTAGATGGTTTTAATTCATGGGAAAATTGTTAGATGGTTTTCACAAAAACCATCATGAGGTACACTGTGGTGGACAGGGAAGAGACCGGTAGCAAAGAGGTAAAGGAAACTACAGTCATACAAAGAAATAGGAATGGGGACACTGTTAGGTTCTGAAAGTGTGAGCTTGAGATAAATAGAAGAGGTATGGAATAGCCACTGCAGGGAAGAGCCTGTGGCTTTCTCTGCAAGTTCCTAAAGCAAATAATTTGTACTTTCAGACAATTGATAATTTGGAGGATTTGATCTGTTTTAAATAGAAATGTTATGGGGCTGGACAAATTCCACTTCATGACTTCTTTTTCACATAGAGCTATTTTTATCAATTTGGTCACAAGAGTTCTGGTTTTTAGCCAGGAGTATGCTTTTAAATAGGTTATTTTGAAATAGTCTAATATTGTAAATTTAAATTACAAAAATAATGCATGATCATTGAAATAAGCCAATCAACATAGAAAATGAAGAGAAAGTGAACAATTTTCCCTAACTTTTCCTCTTCAAACCCTTTTTCCACCTTCCCCAAAGTAACCTCTATTACCAGTTTGGTATTTATCATTCCACTCTTTCCTCTATGCTTAGACAAAAAATAGAGAGAGATAGATCCTCTCCTCCCCCCTTTTTTTTTTTTTTTTAATCAGATGGGATCAACAATTCTGTAATATGCTTTTATTCATGTAATCAATCAGGACAATCAGGATAGCTACATAATACTCTTTTTAATAGCTACATAATACTCCATAGTATGAATGAACCATAACTTACTAACCTATTCACTATGTTCAGCCCATTTTTTTTCAAAGTTTTCCTCCTACTACACAAATGCCATCACAATAAATTTTACATACAATAATAGAAAACCTGTACATAGGAATGTAAGATAAAATTCTCAAACTGGGATGGCTGGCCCTGAAGGCTGAAAATTTTAAATGCCTGAGAACTCTCCAAAAAGGCTGTATGAGAGAATTCATTTCCCCACCTCATCATCAGAACTAGATGTTATCAATCATTTTAGCCTTTTGCCAAGGCTAATTAAAATAGTCTGGTTAATTAAAATAGTCTTCTTGGTTACTAATGAATTTTATCACCTTCTGATATGTTTACTGGCCATTTATATTTCCTCTTCTGTGAAGTGTCTACTCACATCCTTTGCCTAATTTTCTATTGAATTAAAAAATCAATTTGTAGGAACTTCCATATTGACAGTCACAATCCTTTGTCATATGCACTAAAATATTTATTTTCGAAATATTTTTGTATTCTAACTTTGCATATGGTACCTTCTGTCATTCAGCAGTCATTTTTTTCTGATGTGAAATCTATCCAGTTATTTCCTTCATGGCATTTAGATTTTCTGATTTTCTTAAGAAGGTTGCCCTAATTTGAAGACTGCATATATTATCCTACAGTTTCTTCTAGTATGTTTATTGTATTATTTTTACATGTATATATTTATTTTATCTTTTTTGTGTGTGTGTGTGTGTATGATATGAAACAGGACTCAACTTTTTTCTTCCAAATAGACAAATAGTATTGGTAGCATTATTAACTAAAACTATCATTTACCTCTGAATTGAAATGCTCTCTTTACCATATTAAGCTCTCATATACCCTTGCATTAGTTTCTGAAGTCTTTGATCTGTTCCAGTGATGTACTTGTTTAACCCTATGCCAATTCTACATTGTCTTGATTATAATAACTTTATAGAAGATTCTATTATCTGATAAGTCTGCCCTAACTGTCCTGGTTCAATTTTTTTCTTGCAATTCTCAGTTCTTTATTATTCCATTTAAACTTTATAATCATTTTATCTAGATTTTCCAAAAACCTTCTTGGGATTTAGATTAGAGTTAACACTGATTTATATGCGAATTTGGGTAAGACAGGTAATTTGATGTTAATAAAAACTTCACAATTTTCTTCATATAGATTCTGCATCTTTCTTATGAAACTTATTACAGGATATTTAAATCTGTGATGCTAATATGAGTGGGATTTTTTCTCTTATTTTGATTTCTAATTAATTATTGAAGGCATAAAGAAAAGCTGGTGACCTTTGTAAGTTTATCTTATATTTAGCCACCTTCCTAAATTCTTTTTATGTATCTGAAAGTTTTTTTTGTTTTGTTTGTTTTTGTAGAATATCTTGGATTTTCTAAGTATTTAAGCACATCACCAGTAAATAAAGATCTTCTTGGTTCTTTTTTCCAGTATTTATAATATTTATTTCATTTTTTTCATCTTATTGCATTATAAAGAACTTCTATAATAATGCTGTATAAAGGTGGTGACAGTGAATAAATAAATAAAACTCTTATTCCAGTTTTAGTGGCAAAAGTTTATGTCATCATTTAATATAAAGATTGCCCTTCTTTTTGATAAATAATTTTATAAAATATATTTTATTTAAAATCATTATTAAAAGTGGCTATAGAATTCAAACAAATGTTTGTGTTAATATACCAATATAATCATGTTTACTTTTCTTTGAAATGTTGAGGTAATAAATTATATTTATAGATTTTTTAAATAAACCTTAAATATTTAAAATATTGTTATTTAAAAATAATAGTCATATAGAAAAGTGCACAAATCACAACTGTACACCTCAGTGAATTTTCATAAGGTGAACAAGATTAGTGAATCTAACCACCTCAGGTCAAGACAAAGAACCTGAGAAGGCCACCTTGGATCCTACTATTAACCATAACCAAAACCAAAGGGAACCACTACTCCAAATTCTAACACTACCGTCTGGTTTGATTTTTCTGAACAGTTTGAAGTATTCTGTGTCTGGTTCCTTTGACAACATTATATTTCTGGAATTTATCCATATTGCTGCCTGTACTGTAGTTTATTCATTTTCATTGCTGTTTTCAGCATGGAGCTATTATGAATCATGCCCCCATAAGATTTTTTATGTATATCATTTGGTACATTTAAGCATACAATTCTGCTAGGAATATACATAAGATTGGAATTGGATTTATTACAATGAGGATGGACAGATAATAAATACATAATACACAATAAAGTAGAGTGAGAGGTGACTGAGAACTGCACTACTTTAGACAGCATAATCAAAGAAAGGTATTCTGAGGAAGTGACATTTGAGCAAAGTCCTGATTGAGGAGAAGAGGCGATGCAGGCAAGAATAACTTAGTCATGGCTTCACAGGCACCGTAAGTTGAGGAAAAAGAACTAAGAGTTCATTGAATCCAAAGCAGCTAGAGTTCATAGGACCGAGAACCTCAGAGGAGAGAGATGCACATAGAGAGAACTCTGGGGATCTGCAGAAGGTCTTCCTGGAGTATCCAGCTGAGGACTGTGTAGGAACTACTTGAGGCTAGAGAAAGAACCACCTGAAAGGATTAGCGGGAATAATGCTCAGAGCCCATATAGGGTTGAAAATTGTGCCTGTTCTTACCAGTCAGATTTACATGGGGCAATGAGTAAAGTAACAGAAGGGTCTTATCTCGGTAGTCCTCCCTAATTAGCACTAGACTGAGCACCTTTCCATTCCCACCTAAAAAAATCCTAAAATCCAGACCCAAAAAGATCAAACTGTTTCCAGTTAACTTAATCTGAAAATTCAATGAAATCAA